TCATATTATAAGTTCTTTGTGGGGTAGCCCAACTTTGTAGCTGAGTTGTCCATTTCTCCTCCATTTTGCATAAGTTTCTTGTCCATACCCTAGGCAGGTATAATATTTGTTTCCACACATTTGTTCCAACTATAGTCTTAGGAACTTAGACGTTTCTTTCTTTTGACTTTAGATTTACCGAGTCTCTTCGGACAACGCATCACATAGGTTGCTGACGAAGTGATCCCTATCTGGGTTAGGTCGACTACCTTCATAACTTATTAGATCTCGAGTTTGAATAGTCTTGGAGGATGAGTCAATTGAGCCCCGATCAGACTATCTCTACCAGTTTAGATTCTCCTTTGACTTGTTGATCTACCTCTTTTAGCACAATCATTTCGTTTGTCGAGCCTTTTTAAAGACAAATGTCGTTGGCTCTTATAGCTCAGTGGTGTCTTTCTTCTATGTTACGGTGATTCACCTTCTACCTGGTGGCCTAGTTCTGCCCCAATGACTGAAAAATTTTCCACTACTGGGACCCCTAAAAATCTCATTACCTGCATATATTTTAAAGACTATTTTGAGCAAACAAAACACTTTCTATAAGAATTTTTCTGACTAGTCCTCAAAATGTAATTGACCACAAGAATATGACATTGTGGGAGGGCTCTTTGAACCCAGAATAAATTAAATTTGATTTTATATTCTTGTTTGGTTACGATAGTATTTTAACAAGATATTTCTCATATATTCTCTTGAATCGAGTATAATATGATTTATTTTGGGCCACTCTTCTCTCATTTATACTACGAGAACTTTTCCATATAAAGAACTTCATAGCTACCCTTTATTCCTTCATAATTTCTGACCACCTTATATCTATACTTCCTTCACTTCTTTAAGCAAAGGTTACGTATTTGAAAAGAGCGGATAGAAGATCGTTTCGCGTAGAACAAGGGAGGAAAAAAAAAGAGAGACCCAAACACATGTTGCTGAAAAGATCTCCCATCACTAATCACAAGACTACACAGATCAACTTAGGATCATTTGGAGACTTGTTATGATTAAATTCTGCTCAGAAGCGAACAATGGTCTGAATAAGACAAAAGAAATTGGCAGATCAAAAAACAAATAAAACCAAAAATCCCTGGAAATACCACATGGAATGCAACCAAAACTATCAAAACTGTTCCTCAAGCTTCCAATCTTCTGATTCATCAAGCACTTTGCTTACTTTTAACTATTAGAAATAGTTTCATTTACACAAATAAATAGATAATTATCAGCACAACTTTGGTGAAAAGTGCAATAAAATTCAGTCAACAATTGTATATTTAGGCCTCCACTCTGCAGAAAAACTAATGAATTCTGAGGTTGAGTTAGACCTCTTCACCAGACCGTAGCGGCGAACGAAATCTACCGGTTGCCCATTAACATTGCCGTTATCAAGCCCAGAATATCTGTAGACCCCGGATGAAGAACTGGACCTCTCGAAGCCATGGGGATGACTGGCATTTTTTGGCTGTTCGGCACAGTTTGAATTTAGCTTTGTGTCTGAAATAAGGATTTCATCGTGTCGTGATAGCTGTTGCTGCTTCAAGGGTGAAGGAGAGAAGGTAATAAGTGGGCTGGAATGATCATCTTCAGGCTTCGTAGCCGAGAAAGTGCCCTCAGTACTTCTTCCATCTTTTTGGTGATGCTCCAGCAGTTCAGCTTTCTCGATCTGAAGTCGTGAAAGAGCAGATGAGAGAGAACATCCTAGGGGCATTTACATAAATAGCATACAATTCTTAT